TTAGTTAGGTGTACAGCCATTGACATCTGACAGACAGCATTAGTTAGAACTGTTTCTTGTTCATGGTGCTTCTGTTTGCGGACTAGTCAAACTAAAAATAGTTTTATTTGTAGAAACCTCTTACCTGTTGACCCCAAGTGATATCTGCTCCAAAATAGCAACCAATTAGTTGGTCTGTGCTCTACGCTGCAGTAGGCATCCAGTGTGCATTAGTGCAGATTGTGTACAGTGTTGTAGCTTATGAGCGACGAGGAGGACACTGGAGAGGACGACCGGAGGATTTTTCCATCGACTAGACGCCCAATTGCCCACTTGGCATTAGGACCTGAGGGCGACAGCTTAGGGAGAGGCAGCAGCAGCAGAGGAGGGCTAGAGCAGCAGAGGCTAGCAGGGCACTTGTGAGTGAGGCCGCAGCTTCAGAAGCCATGGCCACTTCTGTGCAGCAGTCTACCCAGGCCGGCAGTTCAGGGTCTGTAGGGTCAACGGTTCCGCAGACCCAGAGTCAGTCCGCTGGCGTTATGGCGAGCCAGCCATTAGTATTGACCTCCGACGAGATCGCCATACAGCAGGCAGCCCTGCAGGAGGCACAACTAAAGTATGCATTAGGACACATAAAAGCAGAGAAAGAAAGGATGATTAGAAGAAGAGCCAGGATGCAGCGAAGAGAAGCGGACGTTAGCGAGTTAGAGGAGATGGACCTGACGCACCTGACTGATGATGTGAGGCTCGTACGGTCCGTCCTGCTGAATGTAGTTGAGATGCAGGACCATCAGACAACCATCCTTCAGGACATCCAGCAAAGTCTGGCCCTGTTGGCTGGGCGAGCGCAGGCAACGTCGCCAATATCCGGGCCTGGTGCCTGGCCCGTTGTACATCCTCCTCCTTTTGTCCAACCGGTGACTGGGGTATCCCCATACGTAGCCCCATCATCGGTTGCGATCATTTCCCTGAGCATGCCGCTATCAGGAGGAGTATCAGCAGGAACTAGTTTGCAGGTTCCTGTACAGACAGTGTTCACCCAATCTCCGTTGCAGGTTGCGGTCACCACGCAGCCTGCTGTCTCGCAGCCTGTGCGGCCGCGGGGCACACAGTCCCAGCAGTTAGTACAGGGTCCACAGCCCGGAGTGATGCACGGACCGGGACAAACACAGTGGGTTCCAAAGATGGCCATCGCCGCTCCGAAACCCTTCACAGGGGATAAGAGAGGTGAAGACCTCGACCCGTGGCTGAGGGCAGTGCCAGTCTATGTTAGGTGTAAACTTACCTTGCCGCACGAAGAAGTGCTTGTGGCTGCCTCCTACCTAAAGGGTAGTTCAGCAAGATGGTTGAGTGGTTTGGTGCAGCTCCAGGGGTATGGTCATGACTTCCGCGCTTGGGCAGTCACCCGGAAATTGGATGACTTCCTTAACCTGGTGGAGGAAAGGTGGCATGATCCTCGGGAGGCCCAAAGGGCCACTGACGCAATCCTGACACTGCACACGCGGCAGTTCAAGTCAGTAAGGGAAGCCACTGACGTTGTTGAGCGTCTGATCTGTGTCCCAGGGGTGCGCTATGACCCCCAGGTACTACTCACCTCCTACCTGAGATGCTTCTCCTTGCCTCTCAGGAATTAGTTGGCAGGTGAGGCCAACATCAATATGCACAACTTTCCTTCGTTTAGCAAGAAGGCCCTAGACCTTGAAGCGAAGATAGGGCATGGACAGGCACCCACTACAGACGGAAACTGGAAGGCGAAGGGGCGCATTATGTTTGTCGATAACGATGGTTCTACCATCGAGTTAGACGACAACTTCCAGGAAGGAGTAGGTGCAGAGGCGGGCAGCGTTGAAGCTTCAGGGGGTGGAGTTGTCGCTGTTGTAGCTCAGAAAGGTAAGGCGACCGGTAGACGCCGTGGAGGTTCCCGGTCTAGGAGTCAAGTTGACCCCAATGTTCCTCCATGGGAGAAAGCGGGTCTCACAGAGGACGTGTGCAGAGATCGGTACACATGGCAGGCTTGCATTCGTTGTGGCCAATACGGCCATAATCAATTCAAGTGCCGAAACAAGAAGGTGACCGACAAAATCCCGCCTACGATGGGGCAGGCGGTAGGATCCTCCCATCTCGTTGGTAGCAATGTGGCCAGCACTTCAGGCACTGCTCCGGGAAACACGTCGGGCCAGTAGGAATAGTTGTTCCTACTAGGGTCGAGGTGGTGGAGACACCCTCACCATCTCGAGAGATGGCCCAAGCTACTGACTTCAACGTCGTCCCGCAAACACGTTCAGACCCATCGAGCCTTTGTTCGATGAATGTGTTTGAGTCCTTAGAGGAGCTAGAGGAGGAGTGGTCTAGATTGGACCCGCTAGCTTCTTGGACGGCCCTAGTCAAAGCTCGAAAGGGTGAGATGTTCGACAGCGAGGTAGTCATTGGCGGCCGCAAGGCCGGGGCCTATTATGGCACTTGCTCGACAAGGAACTTTATTAGTCGCGCGTGCGTTAAGAGGCTGCGTTTACAAGGGCGAGTGCAGGGCCTGAGTCGACCTGTGGAGTCGACCTGTGGAGTCGACCTGTGCCAACAAACAGCGCATGGTAGTCAACGACTACCTCCAGGATGTTGAGTGTTGTTTCCCGTACGCGGGAGGGGAATTGAGACATCACGTCTCGTTCCTAGTGAGTGACGAGCTCCCAATGGATATGTTACTAGGAATGTACTACCTCTCTGTGGCTCAGCCCCAGTTTGACTAGGACAAAGTGGTCAAACACACTTTGTCAGGTGGAGGGACCACCAGATTACACAAGTTCAAAGCTAGTAGTCTGATTGAGTCTCATGGATGCATGTGAGCGGCTGCGTTCTATAACTATCATAAGCAAAATCAGGAGGAGGGTATGTACTTAGTTTATGTCTTTGCTGCAGGCGAGCCGGTGAAAATGCCACCGGAGATAGAGGGAGTAGTTGCCAAGTACCCTGATCTATTTGAAGAGCCGACAGGGGTTGTAGAGAGGGAGGTCGTCCACTCGATAGAGATTATCCAAGGGTCTAGTATCCCGAAGGGTAGGATCTATCGGATGTCTCCAGGCGAGCTCGATGAGCTTCGCCGACAACTCAAGGAACTCGTAGAGAAGGGTTGGATCCGGCCGAGTGTCTCTCCTTATGGATTTCCAATACTATTCGTACCTAAGAAGAAGGATGGAACACTTAGGATGTGCATTGACTATAGGGGCCTTAATTCGATCATTGTAAAGAACAGAGAGCCCCTACCGCGCATCAACGATTTGCTAGATAGAGTGCAAGAGTGTCGGTACTTCAGTAAGATAGATCTGAAGTCCGGGTACCATCAGATTGCAATCCGGCCCGAGGATCAACACCGAACCGCCTTTTAGACCAGGTACGGTCTGTACGAGTTTGTGGTGATGCCTTTCGGCCTTTGCAATGCTCCTGGCACCTTTCAGCACGCTATGAATCGGATATTCCATGACTACTTGGATAAGTTTGTCATCGTGTACCTCGATGACATACTTATTCTTAGTAAGACTGTCGAGGAGCACGCTGCACATCTGGACAAAGTCCTCAGTCTCTTGCGACAGCACAAGTTCAAGATTAACGGTGAGACGTGCAAGTTTGGCCGCACCCGTGTCTTGTACTTGGGTCATGAGATTTCCGCGGAAGGGTTGAAGCCCGATGACGCGAAGGTGGCCAGCATTCGTGACTGGCCACGTCCTCAGTCTGTGACAGAGATGAAATCATTCTTAGGGATGACCGGCTACTATACTTCGTGGAGAACTATAGCATAGTTGCCGCCCCTTTGACTGATCTGACCCGCCTTGACACCCCATGGGAGTGGACTGAGAAATGCGAGGCTGCTTTCAGACATCTGAAGCATGCGTTGACGCATTACAAAGTCTTGAAACTTCCTGATCCTGACAAGCCATTTATAGTGACTACGGATGCTAGCCAATATGGCATAGGCGTACTTGCACAACAGGAGGGGAAAAAGTTGAGGCCAGTAGAGTACATGTCCAAAAAGATGCCCTCTCAGAAGTTGGCTAAGCCCACCTATGAGAAGGAACTCTATGCGGTTTACAAGGCTCTGACCCATTGGAGAGATTATCTCCTTGGGAGGTTCTTCATCCTCAGGACTGATCATCAGACACTGAGATGGATGAGAACTCTCCGACGCTCTAAAGCGTTGGATCGAAGTCATAGAGCAGTATGACTTCGAGCCCCAGTACATCAAGGGCGAGTACAACAAGCTTGTTGATGCCTTGTCGCGTAGACCAGATTTCTCTAGTGCGCTGATCACTGAGTTTGGGCTTGCGGACAATGTTACTCAGTCCATGGTGGAAGCCTATCGTGAGGATCCGTTCATGTCTGAGATCATCCGCAGACTCGAAGCGAAGGACAAAGTGACTTCTGCTGAGTTTGAGTTGGTCAACGGCTTGTTGTTCCTCGATAAGGCTGGGAATAAACGTTTGTGTGTTCCAAATAGCGAGTCTTTGCGTAGTTTGTTTTTAGGAGAGTGCCATGATGCCACCGACCATTTTGGGTACAAGAAGACCGCAGCCAATCTGCTGCAGCGGTTCTGGTGGCCCACGATGATATACGTGGAGACTTGTCAGGTCTGTCAAAGAGACAAGCCACGTACTCAAGCTCCTCTTGGGCTCTTGAAGGCCCTTCCGATTCCGGAAAGGCCTCGTGAGAGTCTGTCCATGGACTTCATGGATACTCTGGTCACCAGCAAGAGTGGGATGAGACACATCTTCGTGATCGTGGATACGTTTAGTAAATGTGCTAGGTTGATAGCTATGCCGGAGACTGCGAAAACCGAGTATGTAATCAGACTGTTCAAAGAAAACCGGGTCAGGGATTTTTGGTTGCCCAAGTCCACAATGAGTGACAGGGATGTCCGATTTACCTGTGAGTTGTGGAAAGCCGCTGCTGCGGAACAGGGAACTCAGTTGCAAATGACTTTTGGGAATCACCCAGAGTCCAATGGCCAAGTCGAGCAACTGAACCGCGTTGTTCAACACCTGTTGAGGCATTACATCGAGCCCAATCAGGTGGACTGGGATGAGAAGCTTGCTCTCATCGCCAGCTTGTACAACAACGTTGTACACAGCGCCACCGGGGTGAGCCCAAACAGCTTACTGCTAACTTTCAAGCCTAGACTGCCCTTAGACTTTCTTCTTCCTGAGAATCAGTCCACTGCTGCACCAGGTACCTTAGAATTTGCTTATCCGTATGAACAGAAGATGCAGCAGGCTGTAGAACAGATGCAGAAGGCACAGGCTGCAATGATAGAGTCTGAAAATAGACACCGTCGTCCTTTTACGTTTCAGGTTGGGGACAAAGTCTGGGTTAAGTCTTCAGAACTGGGACAGGAGCACGGGATTTCCCGCACACTCATGCCCCAATACTTTGGACCCTGGGAAGTCTTGGACATCGTTGGGACAGATCCGGATGGACCATCTTATGTTATCCGGATCCCTGGTCATCTCCGAACTTACCCTGTCTTTCATGCCTCCAAGCTTGCACCTTTCAAGGAATGGAGAAGTGGACATTGATGACATCATGGATCACAGGGAGATGCCAGTTCAGAGACCTACAGGCAGGGGACGTTCTCCGAAACCGAAGCTGCAGTACCGCGTTCGGTTCCGACATCATACTGATCCCAAGGAGGACCGCTCATTCACGAGGGAAGAACTCATGCAGACCGCTCCTCAAGTTGTAGCTCATTATGAGAAATCTCTACAGAAGGGGAAGCGCCCGATGGTCGAAGACTGAGCTTCTCAGAGGACTGTTGAAGCTAAGAAGGAGGGAATGCGAGGCCACTGCCTCTATGAACCCCTTTCGGCCCCTCTCTTACAGCCCGTCGGCCGCCCTAAGTGAAGGCAGGTCCGACGAGGCCCTCAGGGCCCTATTTCGACCACTGCGCAACTAAGGAATTTCAGGCAGTTGCGCAGCGCCAGTTGGTTGAGAGAACCCAGGCCCTGGGCCGCCTATGTGAATGTATGGAAAGCAGGCCCTGGGCTGGATACGGGTACTGGGCCAAACACAGGCCAAGGCAGTTGGGTACATGCAACCACCTCAGGCCCAAGGCCTGTTTTCGTTCGTGTTGGGCCTCAGGCTACCGTGGCCTACTCGAAGCTTCTGGGACTGAACGCAGGCAGGCCACTTCGATATAGCAAAGTGCCTGCCTCCAGATTGGGCATTCGGGTGCTGGTTGCATGCTGCGTAAGCACTGCTGCGCTATTTGCTGGCTGGCGCCTACGCGCTCACGGGCGAGCAGGGAAGGAGCAGGCAACCATAGCTGAGCTGCGCTGCTGTAAGCTGGGTGTGGCGCAGGGTGGTCCTTGGGTGCAAGTGGCATCTGTGTGTTGGGGAACGAGGTTGTGAGTAAGGCGAGAGACATACCTGGTGCTGGAAGCGTGCGACATTGGTCGCTGTATGCTCGTACTTCAGGAGAGCTGTTGTCGTCAACTTCGACATTGTAGTATAGGTTAGATAGGATCTGCCACATGTAGTCTGGGCGCTGAGCGTCAGATAGGATATCAACTCTGGTTCTTCGTTGATGATGGTGATGGGACTATTTCAGCATTGTCAATTATGAACTTTTGGTGTGTTCTTGTTTGGTGAAACTCGTGATGCAATTCTGCTGTTGGTTCAAGGTCACAACTATTTGGACTCATATGTAGATGCTGTTTGATTGCTGAAGTTCGCTATTGCTCATCTTCCTTGCAAGGGTTAATGAAAGAAGTTATTTCAGGGACTGAGTTTAAGTATGTTTATTTATGGGGGTAAATTGCTAGAGGGAGGGGCTCTGAAAAAAGAGAGATGGAAAACTGTCCTCAATAAACGGCTAGAGGGAGGGGCTCTGAAAAAACTTAAAAAAAGAGAGATGGGAGACTGTCCTCGATATTGAATGGGCGTCATTGGCAGTCAATCCTTTTGAGAGAGCCAATCAATGCTGCCAAGGTTCCTCGGGTCATAATGTGGGGAAGCATGATGAGTAAAAGATGTATTGTGAAGCTACTTATGGGACGTTGGGCCCGGTTCGCAGCAGGTGATGCTCCCCACCAATAGAAAGGAGCCATGTAAAAAAAAAAAAAAAAAAAAAAGAGGAGACAAGACAATTCGGCAGAATGGGAACCGGCTTTTGGCTCAGAAGGGAATTATTTGAGAGAGCGCATGCGCCGGTCCGGTAAGCGCTAGCACACAGCGCTAATTCATGCGTTGCAGTTTCCAGGCATCACGGGAAACCTCCGCGCATGAACCTCCGTGCGTCTCAACCCTCGAATTGGAGGAAGGAGACAAAGGAACAAAGGGTGAGCACGCGCCAACACACCACGCCACGCCTTCGGGCGTGACCGCCCCAAGCCAATCATAGGGTCGTCAAGTGTAAGAGAGAGAAGGGGAGGAGAAGGAAGGTGGACGAAGACCGGAATGATTGAGTGTGAGGGAAACCGGGAGCCCTAAAAGAAGGAAAGGACAAAAGGGGCGAGGATCTGGCAAGGGAAAGGAAAGCGAGAGATAATTTTACAAAATTCGAAAGAACAACAGGCGGAACTGATGCGAACAAGGAATAATTGCATGCTGAAGCAGTACGTGACAAATCAGTTCCTGCTCCATCATCACACCGTACCAGGTTTGAACAGCCTTGTGGGGATTTCCAAGGTAAGATCAGACAACGCTATTCAACCTCGTCGGATTGTACACAGAGGACAGCAGAAGGACGAAGGGTCAAGCGCTCAAGAAGAAGGAACAGCGACAACGGAAGGCAACAGTAGAAGGGAGAGAGTGACAAACCAGTTCGGATCTAGGGCGCATTTTGTCAAGAAATAGGATAGAAAGATCACGCACAAGTAGCAGCCGAAAAAGGAAAGAAACGAGATTCATCCGTTCCCAGGCGAGACTGTACCCGGATTTAGAAGGAATAGGAAACGGGCAACGATAAGCCTATATGACAGGTAGTGCCACACATCCTTAAGTAGTCATCATGGTTCAACTGCCGGACCAAATAGTACCAGTCGGGCAGTATTCAAATAGGAACAGCAAAACCTAGCCAGCACGGTTGTCTCCGCGAGACCCCAACTTTCCCCCGCACCCCACCACTCAAAGAACGCGTTTAACCCGCACACCCTCCCACATCGGGCCATGCACCCGCCAAACCTCCCTGAAGCTATAGTCCCTAAGAAAGCACAAAAAGCCTAACACTCCCCAACTCAGAACATACACCAAGGAACACCACACTCACAACTAACACACTATCCCTAAGAAAGCACAGAAAGCCTAACACTCCCCAACTCAGAACATACACCAAGGAACACCACACTCAAAACTAACACACTATCCTAGCCCCTAACATCGCCCCCCACCTCTCCAACTCGCCCCCCCTACGACCCCACCATCACCCAGCGAATTCCTATAGAGTCTCGGAACGGGAACCAAGCAAGTTAAAGCAAACGTTGTGCAGATCGGATGATTCTTATTTGGTTTATTTATTCATTCAATTATTATCCAAAATTCTTTGTTTAAATTCCTGTCAATTCATTTAATTTCATGATTCTTTGGGCGTTTGAGGAGAGCAATTCCCTCCGCGAGAAGATCTTCCTCCCTCACAGGGGGAAAATGAATCTCTACCAGCTTTTTCAAGGGTCGCCAAAAACAGAGATTCCATCTATTCTTTAACCAACCCGACGAAGACACTTACACCCAAAAGGCAAATTTGAAACCCAACGCACTCCAATGGCAGCATCTTATAGCCAAGCTGCTCGCAAAGCGCTCAGGGACCAAGACATAGCACATGCTGAAACTTCACTGAAACCCTCAACATCCCAAGATTCGGGTTTGCCCTCCGAGGCCTCTTCAGAGGAAACACAGAAACCAGCAACAGCAGTGAAGACACTGGGACAAATAGCAATTGATTTTTTTATGAACAAAACGAAAATTAAAGAAGAAATCATCAAAACGAAGGAAATCATCAAGAACCCAGCAGGAAAACAAGAAGAAGTCGGAATCTGGGAATACCCCAAGCAACGACTACAGCCGTTGAACGAAATGTACGAAAAGCACGCACTCCTATTCAATTTTACCAACAAGAACAGAGAGTTACCTTTGAACGAGAAGAGAAAATGGGTGATGGACCGTCTAAGGGAAATGGAAAGTATTCCCGGAACAGAACTTGACGTGTCCTACCATAAACGGGGTAGGTTCACCGTTATGGTACTGTGTGTGGATCCTATGTTTGCCCGATTTCTCATCTCATTAGGCTCCTTGAAATGCAAAGGATCAGTTGTCACAATCCAATCATGGAAGCCTCCCAAAGAGCCACAAGCGGAAGCCTCCAGACAATGCTCAAGAATCATTTCTGGGTACAATTTGACAACCTGTCCAAAGGTCTGCATAGCTTCATGCAAAAAAGGTTGCAAGAAGAATACCCGAACAACCCAATAATAGACTGGTTGCCTGCTAACGCAGACTTTATGGCCCCAAATCACGACGCCAGAGTGGCGTGCCTCGAAGTGTTATCGGGCACACCACCCGAATTCCCGAACATCTGGTTCCTCAGGAAAAATGGACAACGATTGAATGTGTTCATCTCCACGAAAACCAACCCCTTCTGTTTTAAATGCAGGAACAAAGGGCATTTGGGAATGCACTGCCCCCTTGTCGAGGACAAGGGGAGGAAGGTCGCACTGAAACAATCGATGCTGGTTGAGTGCGACACAAAACCGGGAGTATGGTACATCAACAGCGCCCTTTACAGGGACTGGATCTTCGATGATAACTCGGAACAACCAAAACGGATCTAGGTGCTACAAGGGGAGCCCAAACTCAAACCCGATATCTATCCGCCATATGACAGCAGATGGAGAGCGGTGGGAGCAAAGAGGATGGAAGACAAATCCACGGGTTACATAACAAAACAAGTAATTAATGAAACCAATTTGTTGGATGAAAAGCAAAGATTGGAAACGATGAACGAACTGCACACAATCGGTCAAAATGCAGAAAGAGCTTACCTTGAGAACTTGAGAGCCAGAACCTCAACGGAGAAGGAACAAGGCTCCACCTGCTCAACGCCAAAATACATCACAACCTTCAGATTGATGGGTTACTCAAAAGAAAAGCAGACGATACAGACAAAGCATCTGCCATGTCCACATCAATCAAGGGGAAGCAGAAAGCGGTAGGATTGGCCAACGCTCTGTCCGCAAATATGGAGGTAGACACCAGCAAAATTAGTAGGCAGGACACCAAAAGTCAAGAGGGATCACATCACACGGGAGGAGGAACCGGTCCAACCCACTCACTCTGACCAAGGTGAAGAAATGGACAGCAAACAAACCGCTTCACAAGACACTGTCGCAGACACCAGGGGAGCAAGCAGCGCGAACACCGTCTCCGAAGGTAGTAAAAAAAAATCCAGGTCAGGGAAGAACATTAACCTCACATCCACAGACTCTCAGAATGAAGGACAAGAGTCGGAGGAAGGGGACTCGAACGAGGAAGGCTCAAATGAGGGAACCGAGGAGGAAGACGAAGACGTGAGGGGGGAAGAAGATTATCATGAACAGGACTTCGACTCACTGGACTACATCCAAGATTATGTGAGAACCCTGGAATTGGAAAGAACAGTCGAATTG